AGGCTTGCCAGGAATGAGCTGATTGAATTTATGGCAAATACTGTGGTTAAGGATGGCATAGTTAGAAGCCTGGTGAAAGGAGTTCAAGTGCAGTTTGATGCACAGAAACTGGGAGAGATTCTGGACATACCCTCTGAAGGGTTTAATGACTACACAAGGCAAAGGTGGCCTTTCCTGGACTCCCTCCCCACTGCCCTTGAAATCACCAAGAGGTTTTGTGATTTAGAAGAAGTGAAGGAAGCCCGGGCTGTGCAGAAGAGTGAAATGAGGCCTGAGCACAAGGTTGTGTTTGAATTTGTCAACAAGTGCTTATTGCCTAGACAGGAGAGAAGGCACACTACCAACTACATGGATCTGGTCCTTATGGAGTGCCTGGAGAGAGGAAAGCAAATCAATTGGCCTGCTTTCATTGTCAAGCTGCTAGACAGGGTCATAAATGGCTCCAAGGCTCATGCTACTCCTTATGGCTTTATTCTAACCACAGTTCTAGACATGCTGAATGTGCCTCTGAAGAAATGGGAAAGGCCTCAAGCAAGGAACACTTTGGCATCAATACTCTGCTTGCTTGTGACTATCCAGTCAATGCCATCCCAAATGAACCTGGTTCATCCTAGAAGGCACCCATCAACAGTAAAGTTAGAAGTCTGGTTCAGGAATGTGCAACCAAGGATGCTGAAATAGCTAGGCTCAAGGCACGTGTGGTTGAAGTGGAAGCTGAGAGGGATGGTCTCAGATCTGAGCTTGCCAAAGAAAAGGAGAAGAATGATGGAATTCTTCAGAACATGTTGAATCTTCTCCAAATCCAATCCCAACCCTTTAGTTCCTCCAAGCCTTAGGACTTCTAGATCCTGTCTCCTGAACTTGTTCAGTACCCCCATTGACCCAGATTAGGGAATTTTCTATCTTTCTATTTTTTTTTGCTCATGGTTGGAATGTTTTTCTTTCTTTTTGTGGATTGTAGGTGGAAACATATCTCTATCAATGACAACTGCTTTTTTCTCTTGTTCAATGATTAATCTGTTCTTGATAGTTTAAATATGTTTGTTTGATTACTGATGATTGCACCATGATTGCACTTACAGTTGCCCCAGTGGCCATGAGTATTTATTAAAATTTGGGATTCACATTGTGTATGCAACTTTTCGATGGGGGAAGAGATATTGTGCTTTACACATTCTAAAATAAGTGATGTTTATAACCTAATTAACCTGGTCCTTGATGATAAGTGAATTTTCTAAGTTTAGTGTTGATGGTTAAGCTGCGTTCTTACAGGTTCCAAATCAGTAAAAAGCACAGGGTTTGTCATCATCAAAAAGGGGGAATTTGTTGGCCCAAGAACAGGTGAAGTTTTGAAGAATGACAAATGAGCTCAGTCATGGACCAGGTCCATCTTGTGAAGCACAGTCATGATCAACCTATACATGTGAGAGGCACGTGAAGGAGATAAGTCCTACTGATCAAGCAGCAATATCTCCTGATCTGATCGAAAAGGTTGCATATTAATAAGGAGAGAAAAGTCTCCTTATATGAAGAGAACACAATCCAGGATAAAGATAGTGTTAGAGTTTGATATCATCGTGAACTCTTCAGCGATAGAAGAGCAGCAATTGAGTCTCAATCAAACTCTGATTACTAACCTATTAAATAACAGTGATTTTTCTCTTTTACAGGTATTGCACAAACGCAGAAGTTAAACTAAATTGAGAGCAAAAGAGCAAGGCGATTTTGCAAGCAATTTATGTGAGATTTGAGTGTGCACTCCTGAAGCTACTTGAACGAGATAGAAGAGTCAGTTCTGTCTTTTTTTTATTCTAGTTCAATTGTAGTAGGTGGTTTAAAATTGTACCTTTCAGCTTTCATAGAAGCAATTGTAATAGGTATTTTGAGTATTCAAGTTAGAGTTAACTTGAAGTTGTCGCAACAGTTGAGGCTGTGTGCTACAACGGGATTAGAGTTAATCCTTAGGTTTACAAAGAGTTTTGTAAATGTTCTTTCGGCTCAGTGATTTTAGTGGAAGTTTGGAAAAATCCTACTGAGTTAGTAGGTCGTGGCTTTTTCACCTTTTGAGCATGTGTTTTCCACGTAAAAATCTCTGTGTTCTTTACTTTCAGTATTTATTATTCCGCAAACAGTAGTAGTTGGAACACCTAGAAGAACCAGGTTCTTTTATGGAGTAGTTAAGCAATAATTGGGTACCACACAAATCACCCCCTCTTGTGTGGCATTAACGTTTAAAATATTATTAGGAAAAATAAATTTTCTAATTTCTCTTCTACTTTTGAAAGAAGCTAAAATTTATAGCTTCTTTCTAAAAGCAGAAAACATTTTGCGCTGCTATTCAAAAGCACTTATTCGTCTTGGCCAAATGCCTTAATTTTTAAAAAGTACTTTTATAAATAAAATAAAAAAGAAGAGATTTCGGCCTCCAAAAACTTGGCCAACCCTAAAGCCTAAAACTTTCATTAATTTACTTGAATCAAAATAGCACGGTATAGCCAGTTTTCGGAATGGTCATTCAAAAATAGCCAGCGTTTACCAAGTCAATAAAAAATAGCCACTATTTTGCTGCAACAGAGACCGGTCCAGCATAATATGTTGGAGTTCAGTGCACCTGTGTATGAACTCCAGCATATTATGCTGCACCGGTATACTTTGATGGCTCCAGTATAATATACTGGAGACTGGAGCATCGGTGCTCCAAACTCCAGTATATTATGCTGGACTGGTATACTTGCTGGAACTCCAGTATATTATGCTGGAGTTCTAGTGTACTTATGCTGGAACTCCATCATATTATGCTGGAGTTCCAGCATACTTATCCTGGAACTCCAGTATAATATGCTTGAGTTCAAGTATACTTATGCTGGAACTCCAGTATAATATACTGGCGTATTTTTCCGGGTTTTGAATAGTGTTTTCGCTCAGATTTATCTTTACATGAAAAGTGGCTAAATTTCGATTACTTTTGAAAGTGGGCTATTTTTGAACGACCAGTTGTAAATTTGGCTATTTTGAATATCACCCATGATGCTACATAGCTGACGGCCCATAATTAAAAGCTGGGCTACGCAGAGGTCGACTTAGGTTTTTAAATCATTGAGCGCAGAGTACTATTACGTCCATAACCATGCGCAAACTTTGGTACAAAAAATTATATGTACTAAAAATTGCCCAACTACTCAATCGATAGTAAATTGGTAATGGCCCAAGCACACCCATAATCTGAAAAATACATCGTCCTGGGTCAACCCTCTAATAAAGAAACGAAGTAAAAATTGCACGAGGCGTTTTATTTGGTCGCCCCCATTTAATCTATACCCACTTTTAAATTTCTTTTTTTAACTTGAACCCACTTTTTAAATAATTTCAGGCCTATTTCTTCTTCTTCTTCGGGTGACAATGATTTTATATGGTGGTTGTGAACATATTTTAATGTAGTTTATGATATTTTACAATGGTAAATTATTATGACGTTTTATTTTTTTACTATTGCTTAGAGTTTCTTCTTCTTCTTTTTCTTAATTGCAAAATCTGTTCATTGGATTTATTGTTGTTTTGACAAATTGATGATTGGGATTTGTTCCTGATTATATCTGGAGGTTATGTTTCAAATTTGAGCTCATTTGGAGTAAATTTATATATTAAATCGTATATTTGATTGTTATAATTCAAAGAACAAATTTCTTTTTCTGGCAATTTGCACTTTAAGCCTATTTGGCCTTAAGTGCATAAAAATATTGGTTGCACTTCAGAGCTTTTGGCCTTAAGTGCATCTGAAATGCAATTTTTCACTTCAGATTTATTGGCCTTAAGTGCATCTGAAGTGCAATTTTTCACTTCAGACTTATTGGCCTTAAGTGTAGCAAAAAGTGTGTTGCACTTCAAACCTTTTGGCCTTAAGTGCATCTGAAGGGTCATTTTTCACTTCAGACTTATTGGCCTTAAGTGCATTAAACCATTGGTTACATTTCAGACCTATTTGGCCTTAAGTGCATCTGAAGTGCAGATTTTCACTTCAGACTTATTGGCCTTAAGTGAGTGAAAACATTTGTTGCACTTTAGACTTTTTGGCCTTAAGTGCATCTGAAGTGCAATTTTTCACTTAACTTACTGGCCTTAAGAATTTTTCACTTCAAACTTATTAGCCTTAAGTGCATGAAGCCATTGGTTGTACTTCAAACCTATTTGGCCTTAAGTGCATTTGAAGTGCAATTTTTTCACTTCGGACTAATTTTTTTTAACTTCAGACCCGATAAATCTAAAGTTGATCCCAAAGTGGGTACGCTTGCAATTTTTTTGCAAAGTGGGTAGGTTCAATTGTGACCCCAAAACCGGGTATAGATGCAAAAGCCCCAGAAACGAAGGATAACAATTTATAACTAAAGGTAGTCCAATTAAGCGAGTTAAGTTAAACTTAGGCAGGTTACAAGGATAATAATAATTTATAATAATTTACGATTCAACTCGTCCAAACTTGCTTTAATCAAAATGAGTTACGTGAAGATGAATCATGAGTTGTGAATGCACTAAAGCAATTTATTTTGTGGTCTATGAGGCTACTAAGAGAGGTTTAAAGAATGTTTTGTCCCAAGGAAGTGCATGTGATGGTGGCTAGTGAGGTTTTGTTGATGCATGCTACTAATGTATTGCCCCCGTCAAGAAGCACCAGTGGTCTAGTGGTAGAATAGTACCCTGTTACGGTCAGAGACAGATGTGGTGTATACTTGACAAGGTTCAATTGAACTCATAACTTTCGACGCGGAGTAAAAATTTATATGCCAAAATTCATTAAAATTACAAAACTAGTAGATATGAACCCGTAACTTTAAAAATATAATGGGTTCAATGCTAAAATTTTTAAAAGTTGAACCCAAAGGATTTAAATCCTGGATCTGGGGATTTAAATCCTGAATCCGCCTTTGGCCACGGTACAGACCCGTTCGATTACTGGCTGGTGCATGCATTATTTGGTTTTTAGATTTTTACCCCAAAGACATGACTTCAAATCTAGGCTCAGAAGTTGCTACTATCAACAGAATTTTTTTCATAGAGAAGTCATAAGTACTACCGCTACATGGACATCAAGAAAGTGTAAAAATCACTCAAGAAAAACATCAAATTATATGACAAACTCAGTTTTCAGAGTTAGTTGATCATACTAGAATTTATCTACGCCGATTCCATCTCTGAAGACCTCATATGCAGCTCTACTACGCGTTCGCCTCAGCCCAGCAGTGAAATGAATCTCTGTTTTTTCACATAAAACAACACTAACTGTTATCCAAAGGAACATCACCTTTGTTTTCATTCCCTCTATGTCAGCAAAATTTCCCTTCTCCAAATGTCCAGTAACAGTCGTATTAAACCGTACTATAGATGAATCCCTGTAACTAACTTCACAGATCTCGGGTATATGTACAGTAAGTTTCTTCGTCTCTTCATTAAACTCGTAGTTGGTTGCGTCACGAGGGAAAATACCTACTGGAATGTCATACTCCTTCAGCAGCTCGGGCAATGGCTTTTGCACTTTTCCTGGAAAAACCAACATTAAGTAGGCACAATATATATCTACTAACAGTGGCGAAGACAGGATTTTAAATGGATTAAGGAAATGCTAAAGGGTTGTGACTGAGAGTTGACCTGCGTTAAAGCATTTATAGAACCCTTTCTACGAGTGTTAAATTTCAACTTCTTATCTCAAGGGGTTATCCTATTTTTTTTAATATAAGGAACTTGTTTTACCCTCGGGACAAGATTAAATCGTACACAGTCTAACAAGAGGAATGGTAGTGATTGACACAGGAGCTCCTATAAGTGTTCCTATGAGGGTAGCAACTCTGCGACGAATTCTTAACGTGCTTGGAGGGCCAATTGATAATTTAGGGCATGTAAATGCTAGTGCAGTGTCTCCTATTCATAGATCTGCGCCCGTATTATTTGGTGAAAGAGATTCAATTAAACCTCATTGAGCCAATGTAGCTCCACCATTGTCTACTAATCAGCACCCTCGATTCTCGGCTGTGAATAAAAGCCAAGGGTATAATTCTCGAGGACCTTTCATTTTTGGAACGTAGAATGTAAGAGAAATTCATACGTGAAACTTTTCATAAAAGCTAAAAGGGGAGGAGCCAATTTGAGTCATGCAGGCAAACGACTAACCTTTAATCTTGTTCACCAGCTTTTTGGTTCCTCCTGTAATACTGTTTTGCAAGTTCTAATTTGAGGGAAAAGGTCAGTATGAAGAAGAAAATACAAATAAATATAGAAAAATTTCATGTAGCCCCAAATTTACATTAACATTATGATTTGATAAAAATATCTAAATTTGGAAGAATTCTCCAAAATAAGATCACAAGAAAGAACAGTCTAATATTATTGAACCAGATCACAAACAACTCCTAGAACAAACATCCGCTATTAAGGATAAATAAAATTCCATATGAATATACAATAAGAATGTCCAGATTTATAGAACCTTTTAATGATGACACAAACATAACTAAATAATTCCAATATCAAATCCTCCAAAAATTAGATAATGCTTACATTTGTTACGAAACAGAAAATCCCAGAATTAGATATGGGAATGACATGGAAAAAATACTTACATTAAGATCATTGGTGACGGAACTGAGCTCCTTGTTGGCTTTTTGACCAAAATAATAAGAACCTGCTTTGTTAATTATCGAATCCATTATTATATATGTCTTTACAAAATGTAAAATTTCTATAATAACAATCAAATAGGCTGTAATTAATTATCTCTGTATGCAGAGTTATAGAAAATTTCTTCTTCTTTCTTCTCTTCTCTCTAAGGGCAATTGAGAAACGGAAAGAGAGAAGAGGAATTTTCGGTAGTTAATAACAATACTACCAATCCTTTTCTGGCGGATTGAACTATGAGGATAAAAAATGAATACTTAAGCTTTTTGATATATTTAAACATTTTTTTTCTCAATTTTTTAAAATATATATTCTACAATTTAGAGATTATATAAAAGCATTGTAAATTAAGAGGAGTAATTGTTATAATTAAAATAAATCGAGCAAATGACACATTTGGCCGTTCGACCAAAAATAATTATATTCATCAGTTAAATATATAAAAAAAAATATGTGTTTACCCAAAAATCGGATAACAATTAAATTTATATGCGGTTTTAAGAACATGTTATATAATTTGGTACAAATTAAGAAGAATAAATTAGTATTGAAAAATGATAAAAGAGTAAATTCAAACCACACAAATTGAATAGCATTGGCCCTCGAGTTCAGTCACCCTTGAACCAAAAGACATTTCAATTGGCTTATGAACAGAATAACAAGATAATGAAAGCTAGAAAATGACAATATACTTCTTTGTATTGCGTGAATATGATGTGTTTTACAAATGATCTGACCCCCTATATACAGTAGGGGAGCCCTACTCTTAATACAATTCTATATGAGGTAAGAAATCTCATGATTAGCTAATTAATCGGCCTCTTCTTGATACGTGCCTGGATTTTCGCCGTGATCCTCGCCAGATTGCGGATATTTCGGCTCTCCGTTATTTGGCTTGGTAAGCTTCCCTCGATCTCGCTCGATCTCTATCTTGCTCGGTCTTGATCTTGGTCGATCTCGATCTCGTTCAGTCTCTGGGTCACGAGCTCAGCAATCTAACTTTGCACCATGGTTCGATATAACTCGAGATTGAACCTTGGCCTATCATTTTCCGGTCTCGATTAGTCATACAAAAGGGCAAGCCCGATTTTATAATCCCCACGTTTCTCGGAGAGAAGATGACGAGAAATGATATGAATTTCTGAGCTCCGTCTCGATGGTCCATGACGTAAACAGCAAACGTCGCTGATACACCCGATCATGACGTAAGCAAAAACTCGAAACGTCCCGTCGGTACAGTTTCCAAGGATTAAATGTCTGTCAGTTGCTGGTCAGCCACCATGAGTTCTGAACCGTCACCAGCAAGCTATAAGTACTGTAACCTTCACTTTACGTTTAAAGCTTCTCTCATTCTTGCTTCTTTTCAAAAATCTCTTTGCTTTACAATTCTTGTACCCAAATTTCTTGAACTTTTAGCAAACCACATACCATCCTAATTCCATTTTCTTCTGCTCTATAATGGCAAAAACTTCTAAAATTGTACCGCAAAAGGAGGCCGCCTCTTCATCACGGCCTGCCGGCGACGGAGCTACGGCGGAATATCCCCTTGAGGATTTCATTCCGGGAGGGTGCCCTACTATCATCGATTTTAAGATTAAAAGACCTCCTCAGTACCGGGTCGATGTGAACCGGTCTCAAGGTACATATGCACGATAATCGATGACCTCCTTCCCAAGTTTAAAGAGAATTGCCACTGGGTCAATAAACATGTTGTGGTACCTTCACTCGAGGAGTCAATCACTACCCACGTGGAGGGTTTTCTAAGTGTTTACACTTACCCCTTCACATTGGGTCCCTTAGACCCTATTATCGTCGCCTTCTGCAAGAGGTACGACATGACTTTTGGCTAGATCTATCCTTCCTTCTAGAGAACAGTCATCCTCCTCCGATTCTTCGTAAGCAAAATCGAGGGATGTCCCTTCACCCTCGATCAGCTTATGCACCTTTATAGTCCCCGACTTTATCGAGGAGGGCTGATCAAGCTTGCTCGTCGGGCCAGCAAGGCTCCGTTCTCATTCATAGACGAGGCTCGGGACCGAGGATGGATGGGCCGATTTGTTCGAATAAAGGCTTCGGACCTGATCCCCCCCGAAGACATGCCATTTCCTGAGAAATGGAACACAAATAGTAAGTAGTACTTTGCCTTGAATGTTGAATCTTGCTGTTCCTCCTCTTATCTTCTTCCTTATCGATGTCCTTGATGTTGCAGCTGTGAAGGTGCCTGACGTAGTTCCCGAACTCAAGCAATGGGTCGAGGGCCTGGTATCACAGAGACCATACTCTGAGCATTCTTGGATGGAGTTATCGAAGGACCGATGGGAGGCCTGCAATCATGGTAAGTTTCTTTCTTAGAATGGTTATTGTTTAAGCTTCTTCTCGAGCTTACTCATCTTTTTTCTTTTGTAGGCCTCGGGAAGGACGTTGCATGAGGCCCCCATCTGGTGGTGAAGAAGTCCTTTCCCAATCACCTGCTCAGAAGCAGGCCAAGAGAAGAAAATAAAGAGGCTCTGAATTCCCTAAGCTCGAAAAAGAAGAAACCGAAGAAGAGGTCGCACAAGCCTAGAGGAAGTTCTGATGCTCTACCTTTGGACTCAGTCCATCGACTAAGGGATGAGTCCGAGGAAGAAGAACAAGAAGACTAATCGAACTGGTGGCCCGTGTGCGGGCTGGTGTCACGGTAAAAGAAGTCCTTGAACCGATGGGCGTTGGAGTTTAAACATCCCGAGATGAGAAGGTCGGTGAGGAAACTTTTCCTGAAGCTTCCGAGCCAGAAAGGGTCGAGCTCATTCCGGCCCAAGCTAGGGGGTTGAGAGAGAGACCGGAGGCGATGGTTCTCGAGCTGCGAGAAGTGCCCCAAGAGACTACCTTGGAGCTATCGACATCAGCGGGTCCCTTCATATTTCAGACGCCATGATTCATGAGGCCAGTATGTTCAAAAGTCGTTCTTACGAGGAACCTCAAGGGGCGACTGATATCCACGGCTTCTTGGATGGAGTTGATTCCGCTGCTTTGGAAGACGTCACCAGGCTCGGTGACCTGCCGGTGCTAAGGAAGGAGCCGTTGTTGGGTGCCATCGGGTCTTCATCGAGCCCAAAACTGGTGGATCGATTCCCGGCCCCAAGTGTTAATCCTGACTGAAGACGGTCAATAGCTTTATCTATCCCGGAGGATGCCCAGGTTTTCTCTGCCCCCGTGGGGGTCGCTAGTTACCTTCGGTGCTTGGTGACCGAAGAAGATCAAGCAGTGATGGACGAGGTTGAAAACTCCTGCCTTTTCAATGAAGCTCAACAAGCATTGAATCAGGTAAGTTTGCATGTGTCTTTAATCAGGTAAGTTTGCATGTGTCTTTTCTTTTCATATATTCTAACTTTTAAAGTTGTAAATAACCGTAATGTCTTTCTTTATGTTTGCAGGCTTCGGTGTTGCATCACGAGGCTTTCCTCCGATACCGGGAGGAATTAACTCACCACGAGGCCGAGGTCCGGGACCTCACTGAGAAAAGTGACACCTACAAGCTTCTTAGTAAGAAGCTTCAGGCCGATTTAGTAACGGCTCGGGATGAGCATGCCGAAATGGCCGAGCAGGTATTCCGAGTGCTTCACGATAGTGAAGACCAATTGGAGATAATGAGTAACGATCCGATTCTTCAAGTCTGGCAGAGGCTTGAACAGATCGGGGAGCTTCAGAAACAAGTAGATAAAATTCGAGCTGAGGCTGAGGAGTTCAAGAAAAATATGGACATCTTAGCCTCGAAAAGGGAAGCTGCCCAAGCACAACTGGAGTTGGCCGAGATCCAACTCCAAGCTTCAAGAGAAAAGGCCTCGGTGCAGGTCAAGAAAATCGAAAGAGATTCAGTCCCAATTGGGCTTGGCTAATTGTGATAAGGAGAACTTGGGCAATAAGCTCGAGGCAGCCAAATCTGAGGTGGTCATGGACAACACCAAAGCCGATGCTAAAGTGGCCCAATATAAGGTCGACGTCGAGGCAATCCAGGCGCAGGAAAAAGTCATGGTGGATAATGCAAAGTGGCAAGCTCGAAGGAAAGCCCTCGAGGGAGTCCATGCTTAGGGCTTCGATATACAGGCTGAACTCGAGAACGCCAAAGCAGAAGAAGCCAGGGCTCGGAAGCTGGCCTTTCCCGAGGAAAACTCAGAGAGTTTAAGTGAGTCTGAAGGCGGGGTAGATCTCGAGGGCGGAGATGTCGCCTCGGATAAAGATCAGGCTACTTAGGCCTTTATACTTTTTGCCTTTCTTTTGCATCTTTTTTAGGCCGTTTCGGCCATTGTAATTGTTTTTTGAATTAAGCCATTTTGGCCTCTGTAAAAGACTATTGTGTAAATATATACAAGGCTTTATTTTCCCTTTTGTATTTCGAATTTTCCCTTTACTTTATTACTTGTATTAACAAAGGTCGTAATGCCTTAGCATAAAAAGCTTAGGTTGTGTAAGTTCGAACAACCCTACCTTTGCATTATTTTTGTTTTTGGGTCATCTTGGAGGTTCGGGTTACCGGGAACCTTCTCCCAAAGTAAATAACTCAGACCATAGATTTCCAATGGTAGCCTTTAAAACCGGTTATGAAAATTTTGAAGGCTTATTTTTTGTTATGGTTCTCGGACGTCTCCAGGCCATGTTAATGCGGCCGTAGCCTTTTAATTCGGGCGTAGCCTAGTGAGCTTGCTTTCCTGAGTTATCCAGGCTTGCCTAAGATAGCAGTCCCCGAGTGGGTATGGTCATGGCCTTGAAAATTCGGGGGTTGCCTAAGAGGTCGTATGCCCCCGATGATTAATAGTTCGATCTGTTCGAGTTTGTTTTTTGGACAGTAGTCCCCGAGAGTGGGAGTGATTATCCGAACTCTTGTTATAACCGGCCCTTGAGCTCATTTCCTTATGAGATCGAAAGTACGAAATTATAAAGTGAAATTTCTTCTAAGACATAAGATAATTGCAAGGAAAGTACTTCTCTTTATTCTTGTGAAGAAATAGTTACACATGCATACATGTTTTATGCCAGGTGTCACACCTCCTTTTTTACACACCTACCCTGAAGGATAATGTATAAGTGAGTTTTTCCATTTAAAGTGACATTATTCGAAATGGGATTATTTATTTGTTTTTAGAGTCGCCACTTGGGATAGGATTGGCTTTTGGTGTCCCAAGTCACCGGTTTAATTTGAATCCCAAATCGAGGAAAATTTCGACTTCCCAATTGGAGTC